CTAAAATTTCCCATTTTGGGTAAAGACACAGTCATATTGTATTAGGACTCTGAAAAGGGTTCAAAGGACCTAGAGACTTATCAAAGAGAAATAGATAACCATGAGAGAGGTAGTAAGACAGTAGCATTACTGGGTGACATCTGGACAGGGTTATGAAACTTCACAGTATGAGACTTATTCAGAGGTTTATGGTAGAGAGAGGAATGCCATTTGGAAGAGGAGAAAGGAATACCAGAGTAGCACTTTTGCATGCAGAGGTGGTATTGCTCTAAATGATGAGGATAAGCGTTTGGGTCACAGACCTCTGAAAGGTCACAGAAGCGTGGAGTCAACTGTACAACCATTTTTTATCAGTGGCTAGCAGATGCTGAGCGAAATAATTTTTTTGTCCTCAGTGGCTAATTTCTGCTTGTTTGAGCAAATTTTCAAAACAGATAGTCTAATTCCTACTAGAAAATAAGTCAGTTGTCTTTTTAACTACAATATCCCCAAATTTTAGAATAATCATTGGTATACAATAGGGACTTAATAGGAACATAAGGAACTGAGATCAATACACAGAGAGTAAAACAGGAATAGGGATATCTGGGGTTGGATATAAAATTAATAATGAAGCATGTGGTTCATAAGTAGACTGAAGGATGATGTTATTACTCTGAAGAAAGTTTGTAGATGGAGAAAGGAGATTTCATTGACCTCAACATGGCAAATGGAATATCTGATTTCCTGATGTTTCAGGAGGGAAATGTACCTATAGAACCATAAGTAGTAGGATGAAACAATGATTTTCACCTCTTTGGGACTATAGTTATAGCAAAGATGAATCTTACCAGTGTCCCCAAAGTGAGGTGGCCCTTCTCAAAAAGCAAAGACCCATCAAGAATGGTGTTTCCTTAAATTAGTGTTTTGTCCATAGATTTCTTTTGTGTATATCCATCTAGAAAATGAATTCAGGACAATTTTCTTTTGTAAATTTCTGTAACTTTTCCACTCCCCCATGTGTGGCATGTTAGCTGGTAGTCTCTCTGTAGTCCTTTTTACTGAATTTTGCAAACATTCCTTCAAAGAGAAAGTTCTCTTTTATAAACAGAAAAGGGTAGTCTGAAAGACACTGTTCCTACACCATAGTGAGGCTTACCTGGAAAAAGACAATCAAGACTAAAGATGAAGGTTGACCTTCAGATCAAAGTGTAGAGAAAAAAATAAGATACCAAACTCTCAATGTGCCCAAAAATGGAAAGAAAAGAAGCACAGGGATTGGGGGCAACCCACTTTCTGGTCCCCCTTCTGTCTCTCTTAGCTTTCTTTCCCTTAATGAATTTTTCCTACTCTTAACCTCCATTGTTCTTAGAATTCTTGCTTCAGTTTTAGAGAACACAAACATACATTTTGGATATTTAGCAGGTTTGTTAGTCACATCTCTTCCCCCCATGTCATTTTGGAGGTCTCCCACAGAGATTACTGGTCAGAGTATTTAATCCAAGGCACTTCCCTCCTCTTTGGCTGCTGGATTTCAAGAAGAAAGCTTCCAGAATGTTTGGAGACCAAAACTAGAAAGGTAACTGGGCTATGAGGACAGCCAATATTTTGGCCCTGGCCCCTCAAGGTCAACAAAGACTCCAGGACATGAGGGAACCTTTTCTACAGGATCCTCCATCTTTGAGGCTGCCAAACTCCAAGCAGGCATACAAATGGCACCAACAACAAATGTGCTAGACTTCTTTTCCTGAGATCCACCAAATCTATCTTATAAACAGCTCATAACTTTTAAACCAAACAATATGGCTTCTTTGTTGGATTCTGAAGTCCCCTGAAGCTTCTCCTTATCCTCTTTGTGAGCTATATTCATAGCAATCCTAATGACCTTGTAATTTGGCCCATGCATTCTTAACTATTACTTTGGCTTTGTCTCCTCCAGACTTAAAAGCTATGCAGCTACCAAGATGACAATGCCTGGTGCCTATTAAAGGCCTTTAGATAGACCCTCTGTAGAGTAACTCTGACTGCTGATCACAGCTATGACCCTCTTCAGCTGGAAGTAGACAGAGGTGTCTTCGCCCGTTGCCCCGCCCCACAGCATTAGGGGTACTTCCTCAGAGTGGGGAATACTGCATACAGGTAAGATAATTAGATAACTTGTAGGTAGTTAGACAGGGCCTCCCACAATGAGCCAACATAGCAAAGAGCCAACATAGAGGACAATAAGGACACATTCACTGTGGCCAGAACTGTAAAAGGCAAGAACCTACTATACCCTTGTACTTACCCTGGGATAAATAGCAGAGATTGATATTCTCAATAGGTATAAATCACCTATGTGGGGAGCCAAGATCTTAACCCAGCCTTTCCAGGAAATATCCCTGACCACCCTTCCTTACTGAAAATCCTGGTAAAGTTGCTATGTGACTTGACCCCATTTGATCCCCACTTAATAAGTGACTAGGTGACTACTTGCAATCTTATTGGTTGGTCATGGTTTTGCCCCACCTTATGGCCACCTTGTAAATTTCCATTGGGTCTTAAAGTTTTTGTCCCACTTTGTACTCACCTCACCACATGGCTTTGCTATATAAAACATCTTTGAAAACTGAGGTGAGCAGGCAACACACTTTCCTGTCCCTCTTCTCTCTCTTAGACAGCAGCTTTCTTTCCCTCAATAATTTTTCCTACTCTAAAAAAATAAAATTAAATTAAAAAAAAAAAAAAGAAGAAGCAGCATGGGAAGGTTGATCCCAGTGACCAGCTGCACTTTTCTTAGTTAAGATTTCTTTTATTCTTACTGGTAATCTTTGTCTTTTAGGAAAATAAGAAATTTGCTGTTGCAAATGGTTATATCACCAACCAAATATGTGTAAAAGCAAGGATAGACTATTCAACCACTGAGACTGTCCCAATTCCCAACCACTACTCCTTTCTAACAAGAGTAATTTTCTCCTTAAAATAGAAATTTATGGTTTAAGAACAAAAAACAGTCATTCAATAAAGGAAAACAGGGCCGGGTGTGGTGGCGCTTGTCTGTACTTCGCAGTACTTGGGAGGCCAACGCAGGAGGATCGCTGTGAGTTCAAGGCCAGCTTTGGCTACATAATGAGTTGAAGGTCACCTTGAACTATATAGTGAGACCTTGTCTCAAAAAATAAATAAACAAATAAACAAACATTTCACTCAACTTAAAAGAAATTCTAGGCAAGACGAAACAAACAAACAAAATGAATATTCCACATCTACTGGTCACATGAAAGAATTCATGGCCAGCCAGGCAGCAGAAATGGAAATGTGAGCAATGGTGTGACAGGATGAATTCAGAGAACAAGGCAGCCCTGGAGGAGTGGGTCAGGGAGACGGGCGCCTACCTGGTGCAGGTGAACAGCAGAGGAAGTATGGTGGGCCACCCCCAGGCTCGGTGGGCAGCCAGCCACCAGCCGGCTCCAAGGTGTTTATCAGACGGCTGCCCCAGGACGTGTAGGAGCACCAGCTAATCCCACAATTTCAGCGCGTGGGCTGCCTCTATGAGTTCCCCCTGGTGAAGACCTTCAGCGGCCTTCGCCTACGCCCCCTACAGCTCGCGGCGCGGCGCCCAGGCGGTACAGCCAAGCTGCACAACCACCCGCTGCGGCGGTCCTGCCCGCTGCTCCTCTGCGGCAGCACCTAGAAGAGGCAGCTGACCGTGGACCAGCTGCCTCTAGGTGTGAACCACAACACGCTGGGGCGGGCGCTGTAGCCGCTGGGGCTTGGCCTGCAGAGGGCGCAGCTGCTGTCCAGTCCGGGTCGGCTCCTGCGCAGAGAGCGCTGCTCAAATTAAACTCGCATTGCGCTGCTGCCACGGCCAAAAAGGCCCTGTAGATCAGTCAGGCCTCTGTGGAGAACAGGTGGCTGTGGAGTGGCTCCAGCCAGACCTAAAACAGCGGCTCCGCCAGCAACTTATGGGTCCCTTCCTTCGATGCTTCAGCCACATGGCAGCCAATTTGTCCTGGCCAGGGTCAAACTACGGCACCAAGGCCCTGGGGCTGCCCTGCAGCTGCTCTGCCAACGAATGAAGTTGGGCAGCCCAGTATTCCTCACCAAGGGTTTGGACAAAGGACCTGGCACCACTTCTGGTACCAGGTGGTGATCCCTGGGCATCCATTGCCTCTCAGCGGCCTTAACTGGGTCATGCTGGTCACAGATGGGCAGGATGGTCATGAGGTGGCCAAGGATACTGTGTCTGCACAGCTACTGGAGGAACTGCGCCTGGAGCCAGGCTCTTGTGGTCCTCTGGGGCTGAGGCTGGTACTACCGTTAAGCAGTGACCCCTTCCACTCTCCACAGGCAGCCTGAATCATAGATAAGGCCTGTGTCGGCCTTCAGCCCAGAAGGCGGCAGCTGCTAGCTGATCCCTAGAGCGGGGAGGTACATGGGCCCTGCCCCAGGTCTACTGCATTACTGGGGCAGAGCCCAAGTAACACCTGCAGGCTGCTCGGATTGGCCTTAAATTGTGGTGAGGCACCTTGCCCTCCCCTGCTGCACCCAGGTGTTTCTCATTGGCTATTCCCTGTGTAACAAATACAACTTAATGCCCCGCTCCCCTCAACCCCAAGCTTAGTTTTTATTTAGGGGACTGGCTGAGCCAAAGGGTCAGATTTTGCTCTTCCACCCCACCAGTTGTCATTTTGATTTTGTTTTATATGTGGCTTTGAGCTTTTCTATGCTGGTTGTATATATATTAAACTTTTGTTAGTAAAAAAGAAAATCATGGCTATCACGAAGGAATGGAGAAGATTTCATTAATTTGTACTGTAAATATTATATTCTTGTATATAATATAATTATATATTTGACTATTATATATAAAACTGTATAAACCTACACATTGATAATATACAATTATATAAACATATAAAACCACAAACAAATTATTTCCCAAAACCGGGGTATATTGACATGAAATTCCATAATTTTAACTCCTAGATATAAATAAATTGAATTACATGCTATTTTGTTTTTGATTTGTTCTTTTGCAGCCAGGAAATGAATTCTATCCTAGAGATAAGAACGGGAAATGGTTATATCACAAAACAGATTTTTGTGCCACTTGGGAGGTAGGTTTATGTGAGTGCCTTACTTTACAAGATTACATTTCAAAGTTGTGATAGGATCATTTCTCTCAGATTTATGAAGAGCTGTGTCTTTACTCCCAGTGTAAAGTAGCAGTTGAGTAGGCATTTCTAACCATAACTACAGACATGAGAGAGTTCTGTTTCTGGGCTGAATATGTGATTTTGTTTTGTTGAAAAGAAAAATGACAATCTGGTGTGAAAAACTAAAATAGTACTCAAGATCCTAATGGGACAATTAGCAAATAGGAAGAAAAGGACCAAAGGTGTAGGGTGAGAAGGATACGGAAGAGGGAATAAGGGAAAAGGAAAAAAATATGAGAAAATGTAATGTAAAAATGGAATTAAAGTGTTTGAAGCGGGGAGGGGAAGGGAGGGTGAAGGGAGGGTGGGGACAAGAGAAAAAAATGAGAACTAAGACCTGGCATGTAAAGGTACAAGATCCCAGTAATGAATGTAACTGTACTGTCTACTGAGAATGTACCAATAAATTAAATTTAAAAAAAAAAGAAAAATGACAAGGAAGGCTAAGATGGTACAGAAGGAAAAAGAAAGTAAATGAATATGCCCTAATCTAATATTAATTAGAAACATATAAATGAGATAAAGTCACAAACTTAAAATTTGAATTTAAAAAAATCAATAAAAATAAGTGAGAAACTCACAATCAATAATATGATGTCTAAAAGAAACAAAGTGAAAACAAAACGATATGCGAAAAACTGAAAACTAATTCCAGTTCCATTTTTAAACCAGCTATTGGCTCAATCCTCAAGATGACAAGAGTGGAAAATTGTAGGGAAATGAAACTGCTATGGATTCAGGGAGAGAGGATACTTTGAACTGTTACTTCTGAGCTGATGTGAATCTGTGACCCAGAGTGGAAAGCAACCTAAACACAGTCAGAAGATAACACACATGGGAAAGGAACTCCTGAGGTCTTTTTACACTTTCTTCTCTCCTGTGGTACCCTCCCCTGCAGAAGCTTATAACTTATGTTCACTTGTCTTTGGGAATCCTAAACTTGTAAGAAGCTGAAAAATAGCACATTACTTGTTGCCTCTAGCAACTGTTTCCCTGTCTCTAATATTCCAAATTCTAAAGGCTGGGAAATTGTACTCTTACGAGTGTGTCTATTTCCTCTGAGAGCTAACAGATGAAGATCTCAACCTGTGGGGTTGTGTGGAGAGCTAAGGAGGAAAGGTGTTCTGGTTCCTGGGGCTTTCTGTCCAAAAGTCTATACTCTCAGCCCTAACCTCATTATTGTTGCTGAAGCTTGGTGCATGGCATCCTCCACTGACTGACAGGGCTGATTGACTCCTACCATGAGGAGAAAATGAGTTTTGGCTCAAACTAACAAAGCATTTGTTTCTCATGAGAGGACAAAATATCTCTGTTATACTTCCCTTCATAATCATAACAGAGAATTGAGAACTTTTAAATTAGTAAATTAAATTAGAATTTTTTAATTAGTATTTGCTATATAAGACATGGTAAGCAATATGAAAAAAAGGAAAACATCTTATACAAGCAAAAATAATAATTAGAAAAAATAAAAAGTATAATAAAATCGCTTGGGATGAATAGGATAGATACAGATTTTTTTTAATTTTCAATTAAAGGGCCAGTGTATCCCCATATTTATAGCACATTTCATAATGGCTAAATGCTGGATGCATCCCATATACCCATCAACAGGTGACTGGATAAAGAAAATGTGGTGTCTATATATAAAATAGAATACTATTCAGCTATAAAGAAGGGCAAATTTGAGACATTTGTAGGAAAAATAGATACACCTGGAAAATATAATGTTGAGCAAAATAATCAGACCCACAAGCTTAAATACTATATCATGAATAGGACAAAGTACAAATAAAAAGAATATAAAGAATGGAAAGAAGGAGAAAGAGAATAGAACTCCTGCAAATGGAAAGGGGTCCATGAGATCAAAGATGAGGAGTAAAGGAGAAGGAAGAGGAAATAAGTAAAAGAAAGGTATGGTATGTACAGGAAGCTAATTATTGCAATGAATGTAAACATTCTATGCCATAAACAAGAGTTAAGATTAATAATATCAGGGCCAAGGGTTTAGCTCAGTGGGTCCACTGCCTCTTGCAAGTGCAAGGACCCAAGTTCAACCCCTGGTACCAAAGAACAACAACAAAAACATAAACAACAAAAAAGATTAATAATATCAACAAAAATTTAAAAAGGGGAAAAATGAATTAAAGGATGGAGGAGGGAGCTACATGTATTATGTACATGCACCTACTGCCCAAGTTGATTACAAACTGCATGTACTGCAAAAAGGTACTAATAAAAAACTTTTGTTTTTTTTGTTTTTGTTTTTGTTTTTTTGGTACTGGATCAAACTCGGGCCCTTGTACTTGCAAGGCAGGTAGCAGAACCGCTAAGCTAAATCCCCAGCTAAAAAAACATTTTTAAAGAACCAGTATGAGGAAATTTTCCAATATGAAGCAGGAAAAGAAAACAAAATATTTAAACATAAAAGGAAAGTTGAGTTGTAAAGAATAAAACTAGATTTTCTTATATTCACACAATAGAAGTCTAAGAAAAAAGGAAAAAATATAATATTTGGAAAAAACAAATAGTGCATTACATTGTACAAATGAGGAAAGATGAGGAAATCTACACCTAAAGGCATTGTAGTGAAATTTCAGAATATTAAGCCTAAGGAAAAAAATGTTAAAACTTTCAAGTAGAGCAAGAAAGTTAATAAAGGAAGCAAAATACAATAATTAAAAAGTAATCAATCTAAAAGAAGGCAGGAAAGGAATAAAAGAAGGAAAATAAATAAATGTGATAGTGGAAAAACAGGAAGATGAGAAAAAGATCCTATCACAGAATATGTAAATAGTCTAAGCATCTCAATTAGAAGACATGAGTTGTGGGCCGGGGATTTAGCTCAGTGGTGCCACTCCTGCCTTGGAAGTGCTTCAAGGTCCTAAGTTTGATCCCTAGTACAAAAGAAAAAGGAGAGTGAGAATGGATACTATTCCACTATATTTTATATACAAGGAACTCATCTAAAATTTAAAAAATAAAGTTAAAAAGAAAAGATTTATTAGGCCAGCACTGATCAAAAGAAAGCTACAGTGGATATTTTAATATCAAGAAAGATTTCAAAGCAGAGTTTATGAGGGATACAGAAGGTTATTTTATGATGAAAAGGTCAATCCTAAACACTATACAACCAACAATAGAGCTTCAAAATAAAGAAGCATAAATTAAGAGAACCAATAATTCATATTTAAGGAGATTTTAAGATATCTATTTTAATAATTGATGTAGTAAATACAGAGAAAATCTATAGACTATAATAGATTTCACATTATCAACTTTTTTACTTACTAGACATATATAGAAGATTCTAACAAAATACAATCAAATGCTACTTTTCAAGTACACAAGGAACATTTAACAAGATGGTCCATTTTCTAAGACAAAAAAAATCTCAGTAGGTTTTAAGACATTCTGATTGTGCAAATATGCTCTCATCAAGTTGAATTCAATTTAAGATAAGATAATGCCTGAAAATATACCAAAAAATTTGGAAACTGAGAAGCACACATGTAAATAATCCATAATGCAAAACAGAAGTAAAATCTACTATAAATAATCTGAATACTAGCAATTCATAATTAGAAATTGAATTTTTAAAAAATAAGAATCAACCTAACCAAGGCAGTGAAAGTCCTCTACAATGAAAACAATAAAATACTAAAGAAAGAAATTAACAAAGACACTAAAAGATTCAATGCAATACTAGTCAAAAGTCCCAACAGAAATTGAAAACTTTATTCTAAAACTTATGTGGAACTGCTAATAATCTATAATGATTAAAACAACTTAGAAAAAAAGAGGGATAAATTTTCAGGACATCCAATAACTATTTTTGAAAACTTTGTACAACTACAGTAATCATGACAAGTAAGAGGGACAGGTGGATCAGTGAAACAGGATAGAGAGTGCTAAAATAGACCTGTGGGTACACATGCCCAAGTGATTTCCAAGACAAGGGCCAGGGTGATTCAATGCTTTTCAATTGTGTATTAAAACTGGCTTTCAAGAAGCCATTATATAGATCCCTTCCTCACACCATAGTAATGTCATGTTATTAGCTTCAGTGTGCCCTGGTATTAATAGCTACACCAAAACAAACAAACAAACAAACAAACAAACAAAAAAACCTGACAAACACTACACAGGGGAGCTTCTCCCTTAAACTCTCCAGAGCTTGTTAAATATTTATCAACATTCCACTTTAGGTGCTTATACTCTTCATGATGGTAATGATTTCACTGATAGATACATATATTTGAATTAATCAAAGTGAGCACTTCAAAGATATATAGTTTATTGCACACAAATTATAACTTGATATTTTTTTTTATTCATTAAATTTAGCGGTACATTTTAGGTATATAATATGATGACATTCATTATTGGGAATTTGTACCTTTACATGATATGTCTTAGTTCTTTCCCCCCCGCTATTTCCTTGCCCTCCCTTCCACCCTTGCTCTCCCTATTTACAAAGACTTTGTTTCCATTTTTTCCTTTTCTCATATTTATTCCTTTCCCTTCTAAAGGGGAATTGGGTGGGATAAATACATTTCTGAACTATACCAAAAGGATAGAGTCACATATAATTAAATTAGTATGTTTTGTTTTTATCTATTTTGTTTTATTATTAGCAAACATTGGATGTAAAAAGATGGTAGAATAGTATTTTGAAAGTGTCGAAGAATAAAGAACATTGATTTGTACTCTGTATATAGCCAAACTAAAAAGCAAAAAATGGTGCTTTTTTTTCCCCATGAATACAGTATTATTTATTGATTGCGGTCAACAATTCAGAAATAAGAATAGCGTTTAGAGTAAGACCAGAGATTATATCTTTCCTTCATTATTTATTGGCTAGGTGAACCTGGCTAAATTTCTTGACAAGAGTTTTCTCACACAGAAAGTAAATGAAGATTATAGTAATGCAATTCAGAGGATTGTCAGAATTAAATGAGATTATGTTTTAGAAAGAGAAATGGTAGCTGTGAGACATTACTGAATGACTGACCAGTAATTTCTCCCAAGCATTATAGTTTTAAAATATAGAATTAGAACAAAATACACAAACCACTTGAAAAACACTAATATTTCAGTGATTAATACAGTACAGTATGTTAATCAAAAATGATTTTTAAAATAACTATATAGCTTCTGTTGCCTTAAGCATTAATATCTTAACTAAAGCATAAGCCAGCTTTGCTTCTCTCTCCAAGTGTTATTAGATATTTTTTCTTTTTTAACTGACTACCTTATTCCAATTTTCTCTAGAGCTGGGGAGAACAGCTGCAGGATTGTAGACCAGTATAGTATGGGACCTTCCCAACTTCTCTCTTGGCTATTGGCTGTGAATACACTATACTAGTCAAAAGTCTCTTCTATACTTTTGAAAACAAGGGTATTTTCTTCTCAACCACTGGTTACTGATTCATAGCTATCTTCCCAATATCAATTAGCAAATGGAAGAAAGACCAGGAACAAAATACAGACAGAACCTTTTCTCCCATTTCAGGCCCTTATATTCCCTGACCTTCTCTCTGAGCAGCAGGGAGAAAAGAGTGAGCACTGAAATCTACATTTCTCCCTCAAATGGAAGGCTGCTTTTAACAATCCAGTGGGAGTCATTTTCTACTCTGTATAAAGAATAAAGAAGCTTTTTTTTTCTACTGAAGATATCTCCTGCTGCTGACTGCTCTTCTAGACATAGTTTGAAATTAAATTCAATGGTGATGTCTTCAGTGCTAAGGCTTCGTGAAGTAGTTAAGATTTTAGAGGTATTCTTCATTCAGGAGATTCACAACGGAAACTGATTTGTTCAGTTGCAGTTATTAGTAATGACTTTATCAGAAATTGGGTCAGAAGACAGAGCAGTTTGCTTCTAGAATAGTGCTTCTCAAAGTGTTGTCCCTGAGCAGACTGTGCAGAGGTCAGACAGGCCATGTGGGAGCTTATGGGAAAGGTGAATTCCCTTACTCCATGCAAGATCTGCTGAATCCAAAACCAGAGCAAGGGGAAGAGAGGAGGATAGTATTGTATTTTAAAGGCTTTCCAAGTGGTCTGAAGCCCACAAAACTGAGAACCACCATGGCTATAAAATAGTCTGTTTAGAAGAGCTTCTGTTTCAGAATATTTGTCTACGCACACATATAGATGTGTGTAGATATAAAGTCTGTAATACTAGTTCGAAGGGACTTGTACTAAAACATTTGTATCAGAAAGAAATTCCTTTAAAAATTGGAAATTCTTACACAGAAGGGTTGGCTCAGAATAGTCTCTAAAGTTCCTTGTAGTGCTTTTTCCTAAGCCTAAACTACAAATGTTGCAAATTTTGCAAAAAATGGTGCTTTGGTAAAAAATATTTCATGTCTATTTATGCTCAGAAATTTCACCACATACAGACCCACACTGAAAAAACATTAGGGAGAAAAGTCTAAGAGGTACTCCAATAAGTGTATAAAGTATAAAGTGACTAAATTAAACAACAAATTATTCAATATCTACAAAAAAAATTAAATCAAATAATGAGGAAAATGTACTTGTAATAAGCTATAATTAACATCTCTGTATACCATTAATATCACAGATGTCAGAGGTAGAACAAGAAAGGTGTGAATGTGCTATTTTTGTCTTTGTTAAGAGGAAAGCATATGTGTGTGTGTCTGTGCATTTTAAACTTTTCTAAAGTAAGAAATAATTTAAAAGAAACAGAAAATTTGAGATAAATTGAAAAAAGAAATGAAGATGATAGAACTAGCCCAAATATATTTATTGCAATAAATATAAAGAAATTCACCTGCTAAAAAACAAATATTGACAAAACTAACATGAAGCATTGAAATATACAGACATGCAAAGATTAAAATTTAAAGAATGAGGGGAAGCAAGGGCAAGGTCCTGAGTTCAGTCCCCATACCGAAAAAAAAAAAAAGAATGAGGGGAACATTATTAGTCAAATACTTATCAAAGCTGCTATAATTATATTAATATCAGATAACAGATTTAAATATCAAAAGCATTTTAGGGATAAAAATTGCATTAAAATATTTACAAAGAAAATATATCAATTTTAAACATATATCCCAAATAAAAATCTTTATATACGCAGCAAAAAATCAAAATGTAAAATTAAACTATATAAAGCAATATCATATTGTATT